GAAAAAATCATAATTTATTTTGTTTCCTTTTGATCTCAAGCATATACTCTTTGAGCCAACTAGATTTTTTTTTTATTATTTTATTTTTGTTTTTTTTGAGACAGGGTCTCACTCTGTAGTTGAGACTGACCTGGAACTGTGAATTTGAGACTGGTTTGAAATGCACAGCAATCCTCCTGCCTCAGCCTCCTGAGTGCTGGTATTAAGTGTGCGCCACCATGCCCAGCTAGTTTTTTTTTTTTTTTTTAATGAAAATGTAAGTTGCCTTTCAGTACTGCTGCTGTACTCCTTCCTAAAATATAGTAATTAATGTAAGATTGAACTAGGTTCAGATTTGTCTTATCTAAGGTGTAGTTAGGGTCAGATTTATATTTTTAACTCTTAAAAATCCAAGATTATTTAAAGTGATCTAGGGCCAGGGATTTACCTCAGCAGCTCAGCACCTGCTACGCAAGCTCAAGGTCCTGAGTTTGATCCCAGGTATAGAAATATAAAATGAATAATTAATGTGATCTACTTAGACTGTACTTAAGTATGTAAATATTAATTAAGAATAAATTAAGTAGTTTCCTCTTCTGAAAGTTAAGTATATGGATAGACATTAAAGTTTTTAATAAGACAATATATAGTGCCCAAAATTAATAATATCCTGCATAAGAAATAAACACCATACATTGATTTTATAAAATGCAGGAGTCAAGATTTACATTCAGCTACCTTGTGAATGCACTTTGTACATTTTCACTCCAGAAAAATGATTTCAAGAGAAAGAGGGAAGAAAATAAATTTCCCATGCTGAATACTCAACTTCTTCTAGCCACTAACATAGTTATTTAAAAGTAGGTACACTACCAATTCCTTCATTTAACAAATAATTTTTTAGTGTTCATTATGTGTGGGATAAAAATATTTGGATATCACATTTTTCCTAAAATATTTTAAAATAATTTTCTCTCTGTTCTTTTATAAAGTATGTGTTTATGGTCCTAAGTCTGTTTAAATATTAATTTAGAGTCATCCCTAAACATTTGACAGGGTGTTTATTGTTTTTGGTCCCATATGTCCACTTGGGACTTTTTATTGACTCAAGAGATACAAGTTACCATATTTTATTAATGATATTTTAATCCCTTAATGTCCAAAACATGAGCAATTTTAGATATGTTTTATTTCCACAGAAAAAAGTGTGGGGGTACTGTCCTGAGTCCATTAGCTATGGCTGCATTGAGTCTCAGAATCCTTCCTGAGTCTTCCAAACTGGAGAAGCTCCCAGTTATAACACTCTCCCATCATGGTGGCAGTTTGTATATATAATTTGATAATTCTGACAATGCTTCTTTACTGCATTTTGAATCTATATAACTATCATCAGGCAATTTTTAAAGTAATTTATCTTCTTAGGTAATTAAAACTTTTATCAAAATCTAGAGCGTTTCTCTTTTAGTAATGCTGTTTCCCTTAAAGTCTACTTTATATGCATTTAAAATGGATTCACCAGCACTTTTAGTTAATACTTGCCTGAAATATAATTTTACATTTTAATTTCAATGCTTTTGTTCTCATATGCTTTAGGTGTATCTTTTGTAATCTGCACAAAGCTGAATTTTCTCCTTTTAATCCACCCTAAAAAACTTTGTCTTTTGAAACTTACTTATAGTGAATTTGCATTTCATTCCACTATTGATACATGTACTTTTTATTTCTACTGGTTTGGTGTGTGCTACATATTTATCACAATTTCATTTACCTATCTCTCTCCCCCACCCACCCCCTCTGTCTTCTCTGTACTAATTCGACATCCTGTAATTTATTTCAGTCCCTTGTATGGTTATCTGGACTATTTATTTTTTCTTTTTTATTGTTAGTATATCTGTGTGATTGATCATATAATAATTACATTTATATTGGGGAATTGGTAATACATGTATCATATCCCTATCATTTTTGCTGCCCTTTCTCCTCCTCCCCATTTTCCAGATCGCCTTCCTAATGTCTACAAAGTTTGCCTCTCTGTTTTATATCATTTCACTGTTATTTTGCTCTGTAAGTTATTTATATTTTGAGTTTCTCATAAAAGAGAAGCCATGTGATATTAAACTTTCTGTGTCTGATTTACTTCATTTAGAATTATGGTCTCAAGATGCATCTGTTTAAGTATAAATGGCTCAAATTTATCCTTTATGGTAATACTCCATTATGTACATATTATATTTTGGAGATAACATTTTCTCATTTACCAAGAGTGACAATAAGATAAGCAGGGATTGCTACCACTTTTCTCTCCATTGAGTCCACATATTTTGAGGCCTAACTTTGTGTAGGAGTCTGATTTCATGTTACACCTTGTATAGGCCCTAACTCCTAATGCTGTGTGTGTGTGTGTGTGTGTGTGTGTGTGTGTATCTGCCCTGTGAGGATCTGTCTTATATGCACTTTCCACCCTCAGTAATCAATGGTAGTGGTAGTCGAGGTAGCAACTGGCTGAGCTTATGCAGTTTCCTCTCTGAATTCAATTTTCCCTTCATTTTGGCAGTCCTTATACAGTTGCAATAAGGCTGCTTTTAAAATTTGCTTTTTTAATTTACCACAGTATTTTCTTATGATGCACATAGCAAGATTTAAAAACTATTATCAACTCACCATGTTGGAAATAGAATTGCAATATAACTTTATTCATACAAAATTGATAAGTAAGCTAAGTATTCAACAGGCAAAAAAAAAAAAAAATCATAATTTTCAATACCCATCCAAAAAAGTTTCCCTCTTCTGGATGATTTAAAGATAAATTCTTAGAGATGCAGAATTGCTTATTCTGCCAAGAATAAATCCTGCCAATTATCGAGGAATATGAAAGGTAGTCAGACATTCAACTACTAAAGTAGAGTTTTCAAAGGACCGCACCTTACTCTGATGAAGTGAAGACCATGATGATATTACATATACCAAAGGATAGATAGATGAATGGTTATATGTATGCACAGATATATACAAACATATGGATATGCTTAATTACATGCGAATATATGTTTTATGTATATTATAATGTATATATTTGTATAAGGCATACATATGAAATTATACTTAAGAAATATGCCCTATAAAGTATGCACACTTGAATTTTATCCATTTGAAACTTGCATGACAGTATTGTACTTTGATATCTGTGAGTGACACACGTCATTATTTTTCTTCGGGATTTTTTCTTCAGCATGTACATTAATAAGCATTTGTTCATGGTTTCTAGTCTGAGTTTGGTAAAGAATGCTTGTTTGACTGCTACCTACTGCTATATTGGTATCCTTGTAATTATCTAGGAGATTGGCAAGAGAAGCCTCCTCTAATGATTCTAGCTCAAACACTATACCTGTTGCTATTGACAGACTTTGTTACACAGAGAAGATATGAACTGCCAGGTGGCTGTGACAGTTTGCGAACTAACACTGACATTTGTGTTGGAACCATAACAGTATTTACAGTTCAGGAGACATATACAGTCAGAGCATGGCGATACAAAGATATTTGAAGTAAAAACAATAATAATATATAATGATAAGCATGACCATAATAATAAAATGATTTTTAAAATAACTTCAGAGCTTAGGATCTCTTTCAGGAAACATCTGTTCTATGTGAAACATATGGCATATGCTTGCAGAGAGAAGCAGGTTACCCAGAACAGAAGCGATAATGCAGTTATATAACTGCCCATCCATACTACATATTTTAGCAGTCTCCTGTGTCAGGAAACTACATAGGAAGATAAGAGATTAAGCAAAAGAGGAGTGCTTGAATAATATGGAATATAAATATAAAATATAGCATCAGGAAACAGATTAATGTTATATAATTCTTGTTTTTCTTTTCTAGACAGTTAATTTGCATTTCCTTTCTTATGTTCTTTATTTTCCATGTATACCCCTTTGTCAGGAGTCTAAATTGGCATATTTCAACATAGTCACATAGGATACTATGAAATATATATTTGATGTCTCAGAATATAGCTCCTAAAATCTTTGGAATCTTCAAATTGGTAAATGTCTTTTTTAGGCTAATAAGTTGAGTGGTAGCTGGCAGCCCCCAGGTAGTTTAAAGAAGGGTTGGTTACCAAAAGACTAAGGCAGAGGTAGCAGAAGGTCCGGATTTTCAACCCCATCTCCAACTTCCAAGGAAGGGAGAGGGGCTGAAGCTTAAGTTGACGATCAAGTGCCAATGATATAATTAATTATTCCTGTGCAGTAAAAAGTCTACAAAAATCCAAAGGGGGAGGATTCAGATAGAAGGGTTTCTGGATAGCTGGACAGTGGCATGCCTGTAATATGGAAATTCCACCCTTAGCCCCCTGCCATAGACATCCTTTCATTTCATCATAATATCATTTGTAACATTCTTTATAATAAACTACTACATGGTAAATAATAGTTTTCCTGAGTCTAGTGAAATGCTCTATCAAGTTACTGGAATCCAGGGTAGGGAGGCTTTGGGGAAAACTCCAATTTATAGCTAGTTGATCAGAAGCACAGGTAACACAATATGGGTCTAGCAGTCAGCATATGAAAAAACTGTGCAGTTTGGGGGACTGAGCCCTCTATGGAATGTGCTGCTGCTCAAGGTAGACAGGATCATAATGGAATTGGAGGGCACCCACCCAGCTGGGGTCCACTGCTCCAGAACTGAATGCTTGCTGGTGGGGGAAATTCACACACCTTTTGATATCATAGAAATCTATCCTGTTTTGTGAGATTGGAAGGAAGAAATGGGGCCAGTTTTTTACACAACACCAAATGTGGGAAGGGAAGTCCATTAGAAAAGTGACTTGGAAGCCATGATATGAAGTAAGTTTTGGCGAATATATTAGCACATTTGGATATTACATCACCTCTATTGGATATTATTAGGTAGAAGAAAAATCAGTTGTCATTTTTATATTTAATGTCTTTGTTAACACTCCGGTTATATTATTTTTTTTGTATTAAAATGAATTAATTTGACAAAGCACTCACTGCTGTGGTCCCAGGGCAGCCTGGAGATTGGCATTCACCACTTATCTGATTTGGAATCAAGACATCTTCCCAGCAAGATGGACCCTTTGAAGAAAAAACAATAACATCCTTAGTACACAACTTGTAAAGCCTTTCCATTTATATTATTAGAGAGTAGTTAAATAAATATGCAGTCCAATATGTTCAGGATGTAGTCCACAGATCCCAAAGGCCCTCTACAGATGCTTCTGGGGGCCCTGATAAGTCAAACTGTCATCATAAATATATAAGACCTTATTTAGCATTTGGCTTCAAATATGTTCATCAGCCCTTCCTACACTTCTTCCAGATTACTGTTTACAAGTTGCCATAGCAGGATGACCAGCCCTGATCTCAGCCAATCCTCTGCATCACATTGGCCATCTTTCATTTTTTTCACAGCAGTTATTACTACTAGATAAGTGGCAAAGTGACAAATCAGTGTACTTGTGCAAGCAAAGACTTAATCTATTCTATTCAGCATCTAGAGAGGGGTCTGGCACATGGAATGTACTTGACAACCTCTCCTGGTAAACAAAGAAATAAAATTTTAAACAGCAAGAGTTTTCAATTAAATAAAAAAGAACACGTAAACTGAAATATTAATATTAACCAATGCATTACTTTTGGAAAGCAAGCCAGTGTTATATATACAAAAATATACAATTTGTATTTTGGGGGTAGTAGTCTCACTACTGATAAGTGTTTAAAATTTAAGTAAATGCTTTTCCTAAATTTATTACAATTGTAGTAGGAGATTCTCTAATGAAAATACATACGTATATTACACTCATAAGCCTCCATGTGTCAGTGTGGAGTATGTATAGTCATCCCTGGAGATTATGTTGCTGCTCACCTGGTGACAAGCCTCCTATTTATCCCAAGGAACAGTTAGAACTATGCTTAAAAAGTAGCAATGTTAGCCCAGCACAGAAGTGCACATGCTTGTAATCACTGCACTTTGGAAGGCTGAAGGGTGAGGATCAAGCCCATCCAGGACAGCTTCGTGATTTAGTGAAATCCTATATCAAATGAAAAATAAAAATACAAAGCTCAGAAAAAAGGCTCTACAATTCCCAGTTGTGCAACAAAACTGACAATTTGTAAACCTTTCCTCAAGGAGAATGGAAAAGATCAGTGGTTGAAATTTCACACTTTTCTAGAAATGTGAAGTAGGATGCAGCAGAGGACAAGCCTGTGATTCTGTAAAGCCACACTGGACTGAGGTCTAAAGAAAAGAGAAAAAATAATAGAAGAGGCAGAGTTGATCTGGAACCACCAAAACTTCACAAATAGATCTTAAAATCTGGGCAGGGGTAAAGGGAAAAAATGAGAACCAAGACCTGTCATGTAAAGGTACAAGATCCCAATAACGGATGTAACTGTACTGTATACCTAAAAAGTACCAATAAACTCAATTAAAAAAAATCTCGGGAGAGAAAGGTCAGATTGCTGATGTGAAAACAAAAAACAAAAATAGAATTTGTACTAATCCCTTCAAAGTTCAGAGAGTACTTCATGTAATCTAATTATCAGTTAAATGGGAGAACAGTAAAATGTACTTTGGGAATGCACAACAAGTTGGAAGTGGGTTCAAAATCAAGGACAGTGATATCTTTAGAACAGTCAAATCTGGGGCAGTGATGGCCCTACAATTTGTAACTCTAGAAGAGACCCAGGAAGGGCTGAGGGAAGAGATGAGAAGTTGTCTTTGTAACTGCAACAGATGGAGGAGAAAAGACAGGTGGAACATCCAGCAAAGCTGGTTTGAGGCCAGTGACTGGCATGAGGCAGAAAAAGTGGCAATGGCTGAAGCATTCTGACTATGACACATTTGGACCGAGCCAGAGGTTCAAGATGCAGAAGCTAAACTGGTCATCAGGAGCCAGTACAAGGACCATCCCCACTTCAGGAATCAGCCCAGGTAGCTCAGCCACTTAGCACCAGAAGCTAGTGAAAATATTGGAGAAGACTTTCAAGGAGCCAGGAATATTTCCTCAGGTCTGTATGCATGAACCTTGCAGTCCTTCACCAGCACACATATAACACACATATACATGTGTGCTTACATATGCATGCGCATATATACACAAGTACATATACATACACTACACACACACACACACACACACACATATACACTAGAGAAAAGCATAGAAAAATGGTAAATGTGGAAGGCTGAGTTCTACATGAAACTGAGCCATTCTATAGAAACAATTTAATCCAGACCTCAAAGGAAACCAGAATCTGAATTCACAGATCATCAGCCCCCAAACCACTGATACAGCAAGCCTAAGGCTGCTGTTATTAGAAATAATTGCTTTCCAACTTGGCCACTGGCTAGTCTTTGGGAAGTTGGATTTCAGAAGTGTCCCCACCACTTCCTTACTGTGTGGGTGGTATGCAGAGCCTTAAGCTGTTTGAACAAACTACATGATTCGTGCCTAACACCTTCCTCTCTTGGAGTCTGGAATTTTAATGAGCACTGGGCAGAAATGCCTACACAAACAGCCCCAACTAAAATCCTGTTCTATGATTGCCTAGTGAGTGTCCCTAGCAGACACTTCTCACTGTGATTATAACTTGTTGTGGGAGGAATAAATGTCACCTGTGAGAACCTTAGAAAGAGTCCCTTGCCACGTCCCTGCATACTTTTTCTTATGCAGATTTTGCTTTACTGCAACTCTGATATGTGGATGACTACACACCCAGTCCTGTTAATCTTTCCAATGAATTTCCAAGTCTGCAAGTGTGCGTCAGTCTTGAAAGCTCATGACACAATGGCACACAGTTACTTAGGAAGGGAATGTTCACCCACCCTCACAGAAGGGAAAGGGCTCATTAAGACAACATCAGTCACACAGGATAAGAGGGTCATTTCCTTTGTTCATCCCACTGTAGTCATGATCACACTCACTTGATTTTCAGCCTGAAAGTTACACTAGTTAAAAAAATTTTAATGATGGTTCTGAAAACAAAGGTATGTTACTCTGCTCGGACAATGTAAAAGTAAAACATAAGTACTAAGAATGGTAGCCTGTGCCTATAAACACAGCAATCCAGGGAGGCTCAGGTTGGAGAATTACAACTTTCAGCCTAGTTTGCAGAGGCCCTAGGTGTAATTCCTACCACTACAGAAAAAATATGGGGAGGGAGGTGGCGTGCGGAGAGGAAGAGAGAGGAAGGAGCAGGAGGAGGAAGGGAGGGGAGGCAGGGGAAGAGAAAAGAGGGGAGAGGGGAGGGGCAGAGAACGGAGGGGAGAGGAGAGGAAAAGATGGGAAGGCCGAAGTGGAGCTCGGGAGAAAAGGGCCAAGGCAGGGATTGACATCTTTACATTATAAACAGCTATTTCTATTACAAAACCATCTACATGTCTGATTGTTATAAATGTGCATATATTAATTTGGTAAAAATTTCAGATATCTTGAAATAAAAGTGGTGGAGCAATGAAACTTAGAACTGTAGTCACATTCATCAGCTTCAGCTCTGTACTTCAGATAAATTCAATGACGAAAAACGCAGCCAAAATTTAGTCATATAACCCTACTTCAGCACTTTTATGAAGACATGGAGAGTACATCTTGCATATTTGGTCTGTTAAAATTCTATTGTGGTATGTGCAGTGGTCAATCAGATTTACATCATTCTTGGACAATTAATAAAATATTAAGAGTCCAATCTGAAGACTATCTCTGGCAACATTACACAGATCATAATAAACATTTGGGTTACAACTGTGACCTTTGGCTAACCCAACTAATTTAATGTATCTTGGTTTAGCCTCAGTGTTTCAGGTTATCCTTTAAAAATATTCAAAGTCTAGTTTAGCTTCTTGTGACTTTTCTCTCTTCATTCTCCAAAAACCACTAATAGCCACATCAGGAGCAACATCTCATGTTTCCTCTGTCCAAGGACCATAGTCATCTCTGCTAAGGGAACAAGGTTATCTCTGGCCAGACAACTGTGCTGGACTGTGGCTTTCATGCTCTGGCTGGTGGTGATTCACATGAGCACCAGCAGTTAGGAGGATCAGAAAATTGGCCCAAGTTTTAAGAAAAACCATTTTACTGTAATTAGCCATGAAGCAAATGGGATAGTAGGGTTCTCCTTAGCAACACAGAAGTTTCTTCGGAAATACAGCACACTCAGTGGAGAAAGAAAAGTACAACATGGTAAAGGCTGGAAAGCAACACTAATGATCAAAGGCAGAAGGAGTTAGCTTCAGTTTACTGGTCACGATAAGATTTCTTGTCTCAAGAAATAGAAAGTTTAGAAGTTTATGAGCTTTTCTGTGAACATCATAGATAATTCATTTTCATATCTTATTTTTTGTAACAATTCCCATAATAAATACCATAATTATTACCCATAATAAATTACCCATAATAAATAAGGTGGATATCCTAGTTTTAGTGTCCCAACAGCAATTAAAACTTTTATGCAACAATTCCTATGTATCATCTATAAGTTAGTAAATGATCTGACAAATCCTTATGTTTTACAGAGAAATTAGAAAAAGCTCATTCATAACTTTCTTTTTGCTCTCAAACTGTAATATAATGATATAAGCAACAAAATTAGAATAATTTTGAATATGTGAATTTAGCATAATGACATATGTTACTTTATCCATACTACTCACATTCTCTGCTTGTCTAAAAAATAGAAACAAAGGTCTTAATGAATACATGCCATTACAAGCAGATTTAACTTTACTCCTTTCTAATTTTAGAAAATATAAAAATTTAACTGACTGATCATTGCCTTCTATGTTTCAACAACTGATGGTTAAAGCATTTATAATTAATAGCTTTTGTTCAGGAGTAAGAAAGGTCTTGAGATTCAAATATTAAAATGACGGCAGATGAAATGTGGCTAGAAGGAGTTATGGATTATAACATGTCAACAAAAGAATCAAAAGCTATTTAATCTCTCAGATCTAGAGAATTGCTAAAGATAACTAAAAAGAAAAGGTTAGACAAAGCCAGGTGCAGTGGCGCACAACTTTAATCCCAACACTTGGGAGGCTGAGGCAGGAGGATTGCTGTGAGTTCAAGACCAGCCTG